CCTCCTTTGACCTTCCCCCCTACACACTGCGGCCCCTGCCGTAATGACGATAACACATCATTTATGTGGATTTATGTGGAAGAGAAGCTTGTCTGGAACCTACCCCCACTAACATACTCATGCAAGCTCTTTAAATTATGCTCTTATTGAATATAGTTAAAAGCAATTTATTGCTTTTTCCAGAATAATTTTTCTATGTGTATGTGCATATACATACATACATGTATATTTAAATAAAGTGAGATTTAGATTAGTGTCCTGTAGAAGGTGACAGTGCTTGGACTCCATGTTTAAATCTAATCTTGGCTGCTGGCTGTGCTCAAAAGAAGGTCAAGAGTTTTAGACCTAGGAGATGTTTTCTGCGGTGTGTTTTAGTTTCACTGAACTTGGTTCAATTTTCTCCTTTGAACTTCAAAAGTTTTCAAAGCTTGGGCCACAGGTTTTCATGGGGTATTTCAGGTCAAGAAGGAACTGAAGAGATTAAAAAAATTGAAGGAATGGCAGATTATGTTCTCGCAATTTACCTTGCTACTCTGCTGTGACACAGCAAGGCTTAGAGATGCACAGTAATACTGGTAAATACTCAGAATTAAAAAAACATCACAAAGTATGAAAGAGATTTTTTTTTTTAATAAGCATATTAGTAACTTCATTTACACAAAATTGACCATTAATATCTTAATTTAAATAAATTCACATTTATGCACAAACCCATGTAAAATAAACTAGCAAACTGTCATGAGAAAACTATACTAAAACCCTAATTAGATTTGCTCTCATGCTAAAAATCACACCAAAAGAGGCATTTGATATAAATGTCAAAAGTTAACTTATGTCCAGAAGAACATTACAAAAGGACTTCCAACTTTGTAAAAACTGTAACAAAAGCCACACAGGAATAAAATCACTTAAAGCCAAGTTTTCTCACAAGATTTTAAGCAGTCTGTAATGTTGAACTTACTAACACTGATTTGAAGCTTTGGCTTATGCTCCCCTCCCTCCCCCCAAAAAAGCATCAATTTTCAAAAGTAGCCAGACTGTGTTCCAGCATGTTTATGCTTTACTGATAAAAGATTTGCTCATCTCAGTCTGGTGAACCAAGTAGTGCAACATGCAGACTGACACGTGCTCACTAGACAGCAAGATAGTGTCACAAGCGTGCTGCGCTTTTTTTGTTTGAATTTTTTTTTTTTTAAGAAAAAAGCGTTAAAAGGCTGCGTGAAGACATGCTGAATCAAAGCAGAGAGATGACTGGCTGTTGGCAATTAAGCAGATAAAAATGCGTGGGGTAGAATTATGTCCTGGAGTGAAGCATGACAAAACTTGACACCAGAAGTGAAGTACCTGCTCATCCTGTGTGTTGTGAGAGCCTGGGGTTTATGCTAGCAGCTCTGAAAAGCAGACTGAAGGCGTGGGCTCTCTAACCTATGGCACATCGTAAGCCAGCTGTTGGTTTTGTATTCCTTCGCTTAAGGCTGTATCTTGACTGAGGCTCATAAATATACCTTCCCTAATTTTTAAGGGGAAGATATGGAGGCAAAAATACTAGAGGTTCCCTCCATTCTGCTGCTTTTTGTAATTAATGCTGTCGAGTCTTATCAAATCACAGAGAGCAAGCGATGGAACATATTGTTAAACTGAAGCTTTTCCAGCTGCAAGGATCATCTTAAATCGGCACCTGTCATCAGTTCAGTCTCTACAGGAATAACTGGGTGTCTTTTCCTGTCCTTAACTGCTGACTAATGGGTGGAGGGCAAATGCTGGGCTGTACCAGTGAAAGAGAAAAAACTTACTGTGACAATAAGTGATTTTAATTCTGTTAGGAAATAGATCATGTACAGACACTCCTGAGCAAAGGGCTCCTGGTATGGCTGGTAGAGAGCTGGTATATGGACAACTGCTGGCTGTAGAAAACTGCACAGCTCTAGGTCCATCTGCCTAGTGTGGCGCTGAAAGGGGAGTTGGAAACCAACAGATAGAAAAAAGTAAGCTAAAAGAAATAGGCAGATTGTTGGAGGGAAGTTACGCAAAAATGAAAACCATTTTGGTCACTTAACATAGAATTTAGAGCGTTGTAAATCAATGACTTGCATGTGGGTTCTACAGTGTACATCAGGTGTACCTGATGATAAAAAGGCCCATCCAGAATACAAATATAGAGAGGAAATGTTTCTCCAGCACAAGGCCAGGGAGGCAATCTTCCAAAGCTGACAAAACCTTGTTGCAGAAGTTGGGTGGTGAGGCAGGCCTAAAAATCACTGGCTGGGCAAGTCTCTGAAGAGAGGCATGTGACGCTCAGGAGGGCCTGCGGTCTAACACTGAAGCTCTTCTTCGCTCTCAGGGAGTCGAGTGCCAGCAAGAGAGCTCTGAGCGCTGGCGTGGGCTGTAGAGCTGAGAACTTCTTCAAAATTGCCCCCTGGGTGGCTTGTCCCACCAACCTTGGTCTGGAACAAGGCAAACAAAGAGAACAGCAAGTTTCTCTGCCCACACTGTAGCAAGTCCTGTTTGCATTCCACACCACAGCCATGGAAGGCTGGGAACCATTCAAAGCTGACAGAAATCGTGTGGTGTTGGGCTTTTCTTAGAAGAAAAGCTATAAAAATAGTCAAATAAAGCAATCCCTTTCCTCCCCCAATTTCTAAACCTCCAGGCTGCAATCACAGAACCTGCCAGTGGCACTTACGATATGCTTAAAGGACCCAGTCCCTAAGGAGATCCCCAGCAGGCTCCTAGATCCCACCAGTAGTCTTAGTGTGTTTCCTTACATGGTTAGTTCGTGCTGGTTTCACTGCTTTTATCCAGTTCTACACAGGCTGGGTAGGAGACAGGTATCAAAACGAACTGGTTCATTTGCTGAGTAAAGTGACCCATCTGCCAGCAACGGTAACACAGCTGCTCTCAAAATACATAAACCATACTGGGATTTCAGACAGCAGAAGGGATATAGTAACCAAAAAACAAAACCAGCAACTTGTCACCCTCTAGGTCCTTGTAGCTACCTAGATACGGTGAGATAAAACTGCCCATGGCATTTTCCTGTGGGGACGGGGGGAAGGGGATAGCTAGTTACATTAATGAAACCTACGACAGGGCGCTCACACATCACCTACTTTCAAAATGCTTCCATTTGCTCAATTTCTTAATGTAAGTATTAGAAATAAAACCAAACAAAATCTCTGAAGTAAGAGTTATCCTAAAAAAGACAGAGCTTTTATCTAAAGATACGGAAATGCTCAAGACTAAGTGACAAAGAGACAAAGCTGTTTTGACTGGCTTGTCTTGGTAAGAAAATGTTCTTTTGTGGTTTGGCTTGCTGATATGCCCACTCGGAGCTGATTCAAGCCTGAAAATACGGCAAAACTTTTAACTCCATCCTAGAACTGCAGCAAGACTTAAAAGACAAGCTGGCTTTTTTTTTTTTTTTTTTTTTTTTTCTCCAGTCTGTCAGCCACTGGATGCTTAGGAAGATTAATTTAATTAAATTAACTTTGTGGCCTAAGTTTCCAAAGGGTTAATCCTATGTAATCCTTTTTTTCATCAGCTAGCACAGGAGCTTGCCTAGCTTGAAAGTTCAATAAACTAAGGTAGTAGCAGGCTACAGGATGGTGTAAATAACTTTACTGAATGCCTCTGCCCCAATACCTCAGTGTTTAAGGAAACATTTGATTCATCAGGGTTCTGATTTTCAGAAGAGTTGAAGAGAACGAGGCACGCAAGTCCCATTGATTTCCAGGGCAATACACTCTCCTACGAAAGCTGCAACCTAAAGTCCAAACTCCCAAGAGCAAATAAAATCTAATTTGAGATTTGACTTCTAAATGTATGAAATCTTGCCCTGGTTTGAGCTAAATGAAACGAATTCTGTTCAGTGATTTTTAAATTTCCAGCTCAGTCTCTTCTGAAAGGCTGCACTTTCTGAAGTGAGCAGAGTGTTTTTGCAGACAGTGTGTGCTACTGGCAGTGATAACACCTGATGTTCGCAGTTACTGCCTGGGACTGGGATGCAGAAAGGCTCTTGCTGATACTTATTCCTGTAGTGACCAAGGCCACTGCTGGCTCCTGTGTGCCACGCTGGGGGTGCCGGGTAGTAAGAGGGGTCACAAGGAAGTCAAAGGTTGCACCTCCGGGGGGTAACAGACAGGACAGGTGACCAATAAGAGTATTCCATCTCATATACATCACATTTAGTTTAAACTGGGTGATCACGAGAGTTTAGGTCTCTTTCTGCAATGGCCGGTGTCCAAGGAGGACTCTATCTGACCTCTCCTGCTTTTGATCCTGATCCTGAGTTCCCGAATCCAGCTCCTGTATCCAGCTCCTCTTCCCCAGTGCCTCCTGCTCTGCAGCATCAGTGGGGATCGGTATCAGGGGAGGGGCAGGGGAGTTGGGTTCAATATTGGGCCTATGTATAATTGTATATATTTCTTTATTATTTCACTATTATTTCCATTATGGTGGGGGAAAGTCAGGGTTAGAGAGGATCAGTCTGTGTTTTAGTGGCCAGCCCAGCCCTAACCCATGACAAATGTGAACATCATTACAGAACACTGTAGGACCACTTAAAATCTGTAGCTAATATGGAGGATAGAGGGGAAAAAAAGGCTACTGCTATTTCTTTCAGAAGTGTCTCTGGGAAGTTCTCCACTTTTTCAGACCACAACAGGATCCTAGAATTGAAGGGACAGTCTATGATTTCTCCCCCCACTTCCCAGTCTTCTTAATCTTGCAAGCCTTGGAGCAGAGGCAGGGAGAAGGAAGAACAGTGCTGAGACACTCCCAGTTGCATTCCCCCACTGCATGAATCAGGTTGAATACAAAAAGCATTTTCAGTTAAGGTGACAAGAATGACTAGGAAGATGTACACAGGCAATGAGCGGCGGCCTTGGGGCGTCTGGGTTCTGTTCTAGCTCCTTGGGATGCTCCTAGTCTTCCCTGGGATGCTGCCTCCAACCTGTGAAACTGAGATGATGTTTCCTTCTCTGATATAGGGCAATGGAGATGACACGACCCCACACTATTGTGACTTCAAGTTTTCAGAAGAGCCTGCTGCTAAATAAATGTGAACATTCAAAAGGTCAAAGTGATAGAGCAACTGTACGTTCTTTGATGGGCATGCATCTTTAGAAAATAAATAAATAAATAAATAAAATAAATCAAGCTCTCTGCTGCTTACTTTCCCCAGAGACTGAGCAGAAAAGTTTAACTGCAGTATGATTTTACAGTGGCAAGGAAAAAACATACCCTCCCTGTGCACCTGCTGCTTCAATTGTAGCTGTAATTTGCATTTTCTGTAACAAGGAATGTCTTTCTGTCCCACAGGGAAGGCTATTTTCTTGCCTTTTTAATGCTTTATAAGTTGTAATACCCTATGATATTAATCTAGTGTTTTCAGCTCACCCTAAAATGAGGGGTGATCAATTTAGCCTTTGCCCACTGACAAACTGTACTTGGAACATGCTGGAATTTTTCTACCGCAGCTAAGTAAAATGCCATTTTATGAGCACACTTGACTTTATCGGATGAATAAGAATGATTAGGAGACAAACCCCCTTGTTCCCCACCCTAGAATGTACCTTACCATGCAGCAAAGATTAGCTCACTGCAAACTTTTTTTTCTGAATAAGAGCCTTAACAAGTGCTGTTAGTGATAACCAGTAACTTTGCCATCAGATCTTCCTGTCCCACAGTGAGCATCAATACAGATTTGAAATTTTTAATACAGTCAAAACGTTATGAGGCGTTGCTGCTTTCCATTTTAGTATGGCCAAATTTTTCATATTTCTGAGGCCACTTGTTTACTCTGGTAGACAACAGAAGTAATTTCTTAGTAACGAAGCAGAGAAAGACTATTGCTCTGCCCATTGCCTTTATTTTCCATTGGTGCAGTTCAATGAAATTCTTGATGGAACAGCAAATTCAATTGGTCTTCTGTACAAATGACAGGGGCAACTAAGCTGCCACACCTTAACATGCATGGCCAGGTAATTCTGCCTCTAACCTTTACCTTAAGGCTTGTGACGGTGGTCTCAACCTTCTCCTCAAACGATTTGAATGTCGGTGAATTCCTTGGAGAAAAAAGAAAGCGGAAGGAAGGAGAGTCAGTTGCTCACATAATGGTGTAACTCCACAACTTGATCACTTCTTACCAGGCAACAATGCAAGGACAGGACGAAGACCATTATAGACTGATAGGGTAAGGACAGTCACTTGTGCTCTGTCAGTCAAATCCAATTAGGGTAATGAGATGAGTTTTTTTTAGCTACAAATTTGCAAAAGCAGAACCTGCCCAGTAATTGAAACCAAACAATGTCTAGCCTGCCTACCCTCTGATACATCTGTCATGATCTCAGAACAACCAGAGAACGCTGGCTGTAGTGCTGCATTTCTATGGTTTTATCCACTTGCGTTGTTGCTGTAAAGAAATTAACGCTTCTTTTCAGCTGATGAGCAAGTTCATAATCTACATAATTAAAAATATGACATTTTAATGTTCTGAGGCTAGGATGAAGGAGATTAGAACTACATAGGAAGTGGGTCCCAAATGCCCTATCAAGAATCCTGACCACTCACTTCATGATTTTGTGGCCACAGGTGTATCGTGCTGCTTTCAAAGACAAAGATTTTAGGGAGACTGCCTTCCTAGGATGCCCCTCTGACAAAGCCAAGCTCTTCTCTGCCTTTCACTCCTCACAGAACAGAACACAACACTTTGGGAAAACCGTGAGTTGAACATATCTTAAAAGAATAATAATAACAGGCAACAGCTGTGATTTTCCTTCTTACAGCAAATCACATATTTGGTTTGCTGGCTTGCCTGACAGTCTTGCTTGTTCTTTCTTTCTTTCTCCAAAACTTAAAATATAGCTTCTCCCTCAATTTAAATAGAATCTTTTTTTTTTTTACATTTCTTCCTGCAAACAAAACATACTGACCACAACTAATATCCATCGTGTAATACTATGAATGGCATGCATACGCTCTTTTCAAGTGAGAGTATAGTTCCCCATAGGCATCTGTACTCCAGTTACCCCTCAACTGCTTAGATGGATGTCTCTTCTCCCTTTTTCACAGCAGCTTCCCCACTGCTGACAATCTCTGTCCTGTGTAGGAAGACATGCTAGAAGTGGGCAAGCTGGAGTGAGTACAAAAGTTTGTCTCCTACTCCAGCTGTTTAGCCAGCACAAAGGACTTGGGCAAATCTACAGTGGCTAAAGGCGACCTTCTTCTGGTTCTCTGCTACTTGCTTGACAACTGAGAGCTCAATTCTAGCATATTTTGTGCTTCACTATTAGTGAAGATAGTGCAGCTCAGAAACTGTTGCCCAACAGTGTTCTTCTTGTACTTTCTTTACCATAAGAAATGAAGAGGTGACAGGATCTCTCTTAGCTCAGTGCAGTATAATCAAAGCAGTTACTTAAGTGTTTAGTTCTTCAGCTTTTTTTTTTTTCCCACCTATTGTGGCATATCCAGAAAGAGATTATAGAAACTACTACCACTGAATGAGCAGGGTACCCCCTAACAACACGGCCAATAGTGTACATTAAAAACACCACCTTCATTTGTTCCTACATGAAATAAAACATAATGTTGATTTTTAACCATAACAGAGGTTCCTCGCAGTGGAACAATGAGGCAGAACCACTTTAACCTGGCAGGTGCCGATGCCTCTGTGTCAGCCACAGAAGAAGGCAAACACACGCAGGAGCCTGTGCTTCATGTTTGCAAAGCAATGAAGCCAATGGTTGCTGAAGCTTTAGTGTTCCACTGCATCCTCTTTGAAAGCTCTGGGAACTGACCAGGAGCATGATGATGCTAAGTTAAGGAGCATGATGAGTCTAAGTTAAACTGAAAGGACAAACGGAAGCCAGTTGAAAAAAACATGCAGATTTACTTTTGGTTTCTGTTAAATTGGTAACAAACTATTAATAAGGCATGAAGGATCAAAAGGAGAAAGAAATTGAGTTTCATGAGTGATGTTTGACCCATAGGTCACACTGGTGAATGCTTGCCTTGAACTATCCACTGGTTGAAGTTGAATGAATTAGCATCCAAGATATAGTTAAGAGATCTGTTTTCCCCATGTGCTTGGCAGGGAGTGGGAATATTCATATATTTAGAGACCAAGGTTGTAAAAAGAAAGCTAGATCCTAGTTTTATTGAAAACAGTTGGAGCTTTACTTGAATAGACATCAATATTCGGCTGCAGTCAAGTAAAGCATGATTATAGCCATTAAAGTATGAAAGCACTCATATAAAATCCTTCCATAGGATCATGATCCAAAGCCTGCTGGAGCAGAAAGCGTCTCTGATGTTAATGAGCTTTGGATGATGTTCTAGAGACAGCAGAACAACTGAATTTCAGATTCAGTAACACAAACCTGGTAACAATCAGCTACCCAAACACATCTCAGAACTGCTTCATTTACTCAAAGGCTTGTACAAGAGATTAAACAGTTAATACAATTAAAAGGAAAAACCCCACAGATGGCCTGTCCTGCAGCTCTTATCTACATGAATAACCTTAATTGATTGAAGTGGGACTATTCATCCAGCTAAAAACTGCAGGATCAGGACTAAAGTATGCAAATCACCCCCCTTCATAACACCGTTGAACATCATCACAGCACATAGGACATGGGTGGCACATTACCTCATCGCAGGCATGCTTATGGAATGGCGAATAGAGTAACTGTGGGATGAAAACAAAAGAAAAGTAAAAAGTTGTAAACTTCAGTTTTTAATATGATTATAACATGTAATTTTTATCTTTTAATTCAGCTTTAAAAATAAATATACATATTCCCAAGAGTGCTGGCACTCTTCCTCTCCTGATGGCAACAGCTTGTCAAACTCACCCATGAATTCCAGCTCACGTTCAGCACTGAAGATCTTACCACCACATTCTCATGTGAACTGACCAGCAATTTAACAGGGCTCAGAAGAATGATGCAGAACAGTTCCTGGCAATATCCGTTTAAATGATGCAGACCTCTGCTATCTACAGAGAGAGGCAATATGTGACAGGGAGAGCTACCTCTGTGTTCCTCAGTGACGGACCGTAAGCTCTGTGTTGGGTGACTGCAGCACACCTCGGTTTGTGAAGGTAAGCAGAGCTGGTCTGAGGCAGTAGGTGGACAGGCAGTTGCCTTTCTTGCATGTACAATGTGTACAGTCCTAACAGCCAGAGCCAGCCCTAATTTGTACAGAGTCCTGCACAACAGGCTACCTAAACAAGAGGTTTCTTCAACCAGAGAAGCAGCTCTCAGCTGTAGCAGGTGCTGTCCCCCATCTCTCTAGGATGTTCTGCCTCCTTCTTCACACCTCAACACTACACCAAGGCTAGAAAACTGTTTTCCACCGCTCTCATCCAATTCTCCACTTCCCTCCTCAGACTTCCCAACAGCAAGAGTATTGGAAGGCTGGCAAGTGGAGGATTGAGCCTCTGTGTCACTCAGAGTTCCCCAAACTGTGTTGCGCACCATTAATGCTGTAGACAGCTGCCCACCCAAACCATTTGTCTTGGCCATTTTCTACCACCTGAGCCACCAAAGCCAACTCTGATATCATAGTATCACCTCCTCCCTGCTGCTGGGAAGCATCAAGCCTGTTCTGAATATGAATCTTTATTTGAAGTATAAGAACTGCCCATAAGTACACTTAATCTGAACATTTTAAGTAAACAGTGCACTGCTAGAGTACTCATTTCAAAAATTCAGGCACGGCTGCTTTTCAGTGGTGACTGACAACTGCAGTCTGGTCTGATTGAGAGCAGTAACAACTGTACTTTAAGGGACACCAACATTTGGCTGCAATCAAGCAAAGCATGATTACAGCATTAAAAAAAAAAAGCCCTCATACAAACAGCACACGCATTTGTTCTAAACTATGCAAATCCAGAGCAGCACTGTGTCCGTATACACACAAATGATATTTTTTTTCCAGATTAAAGATTCAGAAATGGGGCGGGAGGGAAAGAACTATCTGGCAAGCAGGTGGGACAATAAGATCTTACACAAACTGTTTGTTGTTGTAGACATTTTAAGGCTTCTGCTAAGCTCAAATAGATAAGAACTGACAGCAGACAATGCAAATATTTCACGTTCGATTTTTCATAAAATTTTTAAGATTTATGGAAGATTAGCCCAAACATTTTACAAATGCAGCAAATCTTTAACAATCCTAGCTAAATTAAACAAGCGTGTTTGCCATTTTAGTCTTGTAACACATGACAAATAATATGCAAAAAGAAGAGTTTGGAGATATTTCAGCATAAGGCTGCTCCTCTTCTAATAGCAAAACATTCTAAATACGAAGGTTTAAGTAAGAAGATTACATTGTGCCAAATTAAATTCACACAGCTGAGAGATGGCAAGTGACAGACAATCTGAATACTAAGTGCATATTTTACTGAGTTCGTCTTTTAATTCCTCAAAAGAGGTATGGATGCAAGTTATAGGAACAGTGCCAATATCTTTTACTAGAAGGCTAAACATTAAGATTTTCAAAGACATACATGTCTGTGATGATGATCAGTGCAGAGAATAGAGATCCTTTACAACAAAGGTCCCTAAACATTAAATTTTTGTTTCATGTCAGAGTACGAAGATCAATCTATGCCCCATTTTGAAGTTTTCTCAATGAAGGAAGAGTCCACATTCGGACCACTTAGCTGAACAGAAGCATTGTTCTTGAGCTGTCCTGTGCCCTGGTGATGCCACCAGGCCAGAGGGGCTGTGGGAGAATTCGGGACTGTTCAGCCCCTCTGCTGGCTGAACTGACATAAAGTCAGACCACTTACAGAATCTTTCAGCACACATAAAATTGTTTTATAATTCACCATATACTGAAGTGCTTCATAGCACCAACAGATTCATGCTCTAAATAAAGAACCCCTTTAATCATGCTCAGGACTTTGCCTACTATTGGAAATTTCCCCAGGAAAGACTTTTAAAGAGTGGCTGTGTACACTTCGTGACTAATATACATTTGATTTATTGAAGAAGAGGTAATTAAATACTTTACACAATCTTTATAAAACTCTGCTGGCTGAATAGAAATTTTACTGAACATTCGTTGATTACATTCCTACTTCTGACAGAAAAAGATGGTTGCAAGAATGAGCTTACATCTAAATAGGTTTTCCCCAAGAGCAACACCTTCTGAATGTGTTCATTATATGAATTTGAGACTAATCTACTCAAGAACAAGGCAAACACACTCTAGCCACTTATTCCAGACCTTTCCTTATTATACTCATCATACTACAAAAATGAGGCATTACAATTTAAATAGCATATGATTTCTATCATATAGAACAATGCTAAAAGGAAAGAGGTTACTACATTACATTCCATAAAACAAATCCTGTGAACTAGAGAGACAGTATTGAAGGAGAGAAAGGTGTCTTACCCAATTGAATGCGATCTGTCGCAGATGTGTAAGGAAAGAAAAGCAAGAGTTAAAAGTATCGTGAAAATGTAACAAAAATACACACATATATATGTATACATATGTATCTGCAGTATGTCAAACTGTCTGAAGAGAAAAATAAAACCATTTGCACTCAAATCTTGATGCTGTAATTCACACTAGAATGTGGATAGGCTTCAAAGCAAAAATTTTCACATACTCCTTCACTATGCAGTCACCTATTCTGTGCAACAAAGAACAGAAGTTTTGTCTGCCAGATTTTGTGTCCTCTTCATTAGATCAGATTTAAACAATGACAACTGATTTCCCTCCCAAAATCCCACCTTAATCTCGTTAAAGTATAGGTGAGGTGGAATGGTACACATACATCAGCAGCAATTGCCTTTTCATCTCCTCTGGATTTCTTAATCCTCTCTCAGTTGAGAAGGGTATGGAAAAAAGCCCTGTGGCTTTTAATTCCAAAAAGAACATTTTCTCTTCATTAGATCAGATTTAAACAATGACAACTGATTTCCCTCCCAAAATCCCACCTTAATCTCGTTAAAGAGAAAGTATAGGTGAGGTGGAATGGTACACATACATCAGCAGCAATTGCCTTTTCATCTCCTCTGGATTTCTTAATCATCTCTCAGTTGAGAAGGGTATGGAAAAAAAGCCCTGTGGCTTTTAATTCCAAAAGGAACATTTTCTAAAATACTTCTTGCTTGTTGAAAACAATACTTGAAACACTTTGACATTGTCTTCCAGCTCACAAGAAAGTTAGTTAAAGCAACAGAATTGGGAGAGGCACACCAATATACAGTATTCAAAGGATGTCATTAAAGTTCCAAAGTTAAGAAATGATGAGGCAGAGAACCTCTCCTTCATCTGTTTGTTACTGAAGTAGTCTTTAATTACAGATCACTTCAAGGGAACACCTGCCTCATGCCATGAGCCAGATAGATGGTGCACACTTAATGAACATCTCTTCAATACTTAATTTTCACATCCTTTTTCAATGTGTGGCATGATGCATTATTTACTGCACAATATCCATCCCTCGCTCTGAAAAAAAAACCACTGATTTTTTTTCAAGGTTATTTACAGGGCTTATCATCATGTTATAGTGGTGTGTCTCAAACATTCATGGATTTATTTTCACAACACATTTCTGCTTAGATCAGCTTAAGTAATACTGTTGCCGTATGTAGCCTTCTTTTACTACCTGCTGACTCCCAGTAACAGCCACCCCCTTTCTACACGCTAACACAGATACTTGTACAGCCATATGATGAGGAAATCTGTGTTAATGAAGAGCTCTCAAAACACAGCACAAATGCAAGGGTGAGTAGAAATGAAAGAAAACAAACTCCTTCACCCATCAGCAAAAGAAATGCCTATGAAATTACATTCTGAAGCAAGACAATATTACTGTTTCCCTTATAGGGTATATCAGAGACACAGAGGATTAAGAATGGTAGTTTGGGTGTCACAGCTACCATATTTCAAGGAATTCAGCTCCCAATGAATTCAGCAAGTTTCAAGTGCACAGACCATCCCCAGATCACAGAAACTCTGGAAATGCACAGCAAAAGGCTATGCAAAAACTTCACCAGCACCATCACAAGAAAAAAAACCCACAAAACAAAAAAAACAGCAAAAAAACCCAACAGAAAGGCAAAACAATAAAGGCATGGCAAAATTCAGCTCCCACAGCAATAAAGCAGTTATAGCTGAGCCATGTCCAACAGATACTGGCCTAACTTGCTTTTAAAAACATCCAGCAAGAGAGATTTCACAGCCTTCAGAAATAACCGGTGCCCCGGTCAGCTTTATAGCTGAATGCCTTTCCTGATCTCTTACATTAACCTACTATGTGCTGCTTCTTTCATTATTCAGCCACATTCATCTAGCCTGAAAACCAGCTCGTACAAACACTCTCACTGGCTATATCTTTGAAGTTGATTTTTTTTCCCCTCCCCGTTCCTTCCAGTTCACCTGCACACCCTTCCAAAGGCAGTGCCCTTGCTCTGGCCTGAATACTCCAGCTGAGCCCTCATCAGAGCTGAGCAGAGCAATTATCTCCTCACCGACATCACTCCTGTACCACTTGCTGGAATTAAGTTTGTAGCAGCATTGAGAGCGTGACAGCACTGACTCCTGCTGCATTTTTAAGCCTCTAGCCTAGCACTTGCTAGGCCTTTTTCTGCAAAGCCACTGCCCAGCTCGCTGGGCAGTGCTCCCCATCTCTTGCTTTTAAATTTTTTCCATCTGTCAATAAAGCTCTTTACGCTCTCCTATGCTGAATTTTATTTCATCATTTAAAACAATTTTGAATTCTAATCCTGCTGTCTAAAGTGCTTACATTCCCTTCCACTGCAGTCATCTGGGGATTTTAAGTGTACACATGATCCCATCAGCTAAACCTGTAATGAAAATGCTGAAGAGTAACAGATTCAGGACAGAGGCCTGCAAAATCCTGCAGCTACTGGCACCTCTTCTTTCAATAAAATTTTCAGCTCCCTATGCCCTCTTCCTTCTAAAGCAGTAACACCTGAACTGCATTTCTCTCGTTCACTTGCAGGACCACAAAACCAGTACCGACAGCCTTACCAAAGTCAAGCTCTATCACGTCTGCCTCCTCTCCGCCCTCTATGACAGGTGCTGTCAGTTCAAGATAATTGTTCTTGACAACCCTTTCATGGTTTTGACATCATGTTACCTTCTAGAGGCTTAGAAGCTAACAGGTTAATGCATTTCCCCAGTATCTGCCTTGCATTTCCCAAAAATTCCCTTGCCCCTTTGCAGAGGGATGAGCTTTGCCTTCCTTCACGCCTCTGGGACCTCATATGTCTTCTGTGCTGATTCCCATCATCTCCGAGAGGCAATTCAGTTGCCTCAATCGTGTCCCCAAGCCTTCCCTCCCCGCAGCCTTCTGTCTCCTTCCACGTGTGCCTTCTGACTCCTGGCAGGAATGAGGCATTATATTACCTTTATTCATCTTTAGAGCCAGCTCATCCCAGGAACTGCATTTGAAAGGGGGTCTGTGTGATCATACGATTAAAGAAAACGTACGAGACGGTTGAATGAAGATGTATAAGCAGTGTAACTGCTGACATTTAATTTGCATGCATGCCTTTGTTACCTTCATCTTTTAACACATTTACTTGTGTAGTAGTAATGTACGCGGTAATGTGCATGTAGCAGTGTAGTGAGTGCACATGGTTTCCTTTTTCCTTTTTATAAAGCAAACAAAAAAAGAAACCCCACAAAGTCTCACACTTGGTACCACAATTTACTTCTAAAAAGACCAACAGCCGGGCTCTTAAATCAACAGAGATAGCCACAGAGCAGTCCAGCCGTGTTGTACGAAAAGATCCAAACTTTACCAGCATGCAAAGGAGCAAGGGTTAAAGACCCTCAACTCTGTATCACACCTGTGCTCTACAAGGCAAGAGCCCTGTTGAAATGTTAGTGTAACCTCTACTGCTGTGATATCCAAGCCCATGCTACTGCCCTGTGAGTGACCTGGGACTCTTCTTTTCCCTTTTGATTTCCTTCTTCATGCCAGAAAATGTTAAAGGAGACAATATGAGCTCCAGGGGTGGAGAGGCAACAAAAAATCTTGACAGCATATTATTAGTCACAAGACCTATTCATGAAGAAGCTATTTTCTTAACTGTATTACTAGTGCCTGATTTGTATCATAAAGCAAAAGTATCTGTATACTGGTTTTATAAGCATTTCTGGTATTTATAACAAAATAATAATATTAAATAGAATGCATTACAACTGTAAAGGGACCCCACAAGCAGAAATAATTAATGCAAAATTTAGAAGATATAAAATGCTAGTGATTATTCATGCACAAAATGAATTAGAGAGCTGTGACACTGGAAATCTGGGGCGGAGATGAAAGAGAATCCCAGCAGCTGCATGAAAAGCACTTTGTCCCCAAAGGGTGGCTTCTCTGTTTTCTGGGACATGCGGAATTTTGACTTTTTCTGTCTTGTAGATCTTCTTGAATTCCAGCACAGCAAAATAGCACATTCAGGGGAGTCCATCTGGCCTGTTGTTGATATATGATATTTTAGTAATATTTTTAGAGAAAATACAAGGTGAAAATTAGGACGCTGCTTCTTCAGAACAGAAATATGTGTTTCATGTCGTGTTCTGCACAGCTGACAAAGCAGGCAATCTGGAAAACAGAATTTTGTTTCCCAAAGAAGGCAGGCTTCAGTATTTAGTCAGGCTGACTACAAACCTTTTCAAAATCACCATCGTCAAAGGCAGGGGGTAAGACTGCTGAACATACTGGGAATTATGATGATCATCTGGATTTTAGAAATCAGTTTCAAGTGTCTGCTCTGAATGAAAGCAGAACAGGGATTTGCATCTGGATGCCATTGGTGACTATCAACCTTAATGCCTAACCAAGAGAATTAAGCCAGAGTCTGATGTGTGTTTAAATCAGCATTATGGGACAGGGCAGTGATAATCCATATACTAGATCACTGAAATAAAATGGTTTGGATTAGCAAAAAAGGCCCGCAAAAAATGAAACAAAAAAAAAGCCTGCCTTCTTTCAGGTTACTCCCTCAAACACAGCCTGGCACTGGAGTGGAAGAGGGAAAGATTTTTAAAACCAGGTCATTTAAGTGATAAGGTTTACAGTGTGGCCCCACACAGAACTGCACCTGCCCAAGCTGAGACACAATCCGAGGCCAGTTTTATTGCTGGGGGAAGCATACCGACTGTTACTCCAAATTAAGGATGTTCAGCAGATGCAGAATACCCAAGTCATGCCGTGCTTTATGTAACTACAAGACATTGGCTGTACTGCTTGCTGCTTCATCAGGTCTCAAGAAAAATCTCCTGACCAAGAACTTAACTGCAACCAGCAAGCATCCACACACAAAAAAAATGAATAGCTGGTAGTTAATATTTTCCTGAAAAAATCCTGACCAGGCTCAAGGCAACAATTTGTTCAAAGAAAGCTTCGAGAAACAAGCTTCTCGATTAATCAAAATGCTTACAGGCTTAGCCTTTGGGTTAATGGGATAAACACCACTCATCTGCTTTCCAAACAGAGCCAGCAGCACAAACACCATGGGGGTGGGCACTGACAGGTAGGACAAATGAATTTAGTAGCCATCAGTAAGTAATATTAAGAAATATTAAAGGCAAAAGACATTCTGTTACAGTGAAGATACTGCTGCCTCTGCAGTTCATCTCACACCCTATGCAAAGCACAAGCAACAGGACCTGAGAAGTACTGAGTTGCTATGAGCCATCCCTCCCTCTGTGACCAAGTGCCAGCGTTCAAGGCGTTTGCACACCGACCTCACCAATCAGTAGGCTCGTCTTCATCACAGGAGAAAGTGTTAAGAAAGAATGGGAAATGAAACAGAGAGTATGTTGGTGCCACGTGCGGCATACGCATCTGGCACATTTCTCATATACACCGAATGCAGCTACAAATGCAGGAAAGGCAGTAAGAACAAAGAGCGGTAGGAAAAACCTTGTGAAAGCAACTCATGCAACTGGAGCCTCAGCCTGTGAAAGAGGGAACTGAAGTGAAATAGGATAAAACCATAAAGTGAAATATGGTAAAACCACAGGAAATCATGAGTGACAGGAGGGACAGCAGAAAGACTACACTCACTGTTTCTCATAATAGAAGAGCCAGAAGGCATCAAAAGGAAGACCAGGGAGACTCTGAACAGAGAATGAATGAACGAACAAATAAACCACACACTTCTTTACCACATAGCTATGTGTTCATCTGCGGAGACATGAGGTGTTACAAATGTCAAAAGCTCATACAAGTTAAAATGTGTTACAAAAAAAAAAAAAAGAAAAGAAAACCACTTCAAAGACCTTTAAATGAAAGCTCAAACCTCTGTATTAGAGAGTTTTCAGCTCTCAGATTGCTGAATGCTAAAAAAATGCATTGGAAAAATGTAACTGTACAGCTCACTACTCTTAAATTCTTTTCTAGGCATATACTACATATGGATCTTTGGCTTTATCAAGTCAAATAATTCTTAGCTTATGCTCATATCCTGATTGCAAGTCACTCACTAGATTTCCAGCATAAACCGCAATGTGGAAAAAGAAACTCTAAAGCAGATCACACAGTGATAAAAATTATCCCTTTTTAGTTTCACTTAGAAAAGTAGTACTTCTGTAGAGGGTTTATTAAGCTCTAAGAAGAAATCCTAAAGATTTCTTAAGATTCAGATTAAAAATAATAAAGTTGGAAAAGTAAGTTTTAGCTGCCAAGAACTAGATTTGAGCCATCTGCAGTAAAAAAACACCCCACCACATATAAATTTGAAATACTGTAAAACTGATTCACATAGTTCTTAGAATACGGTTACCTTACACATTACAAAATGACCAAAAAGTGAGTACATACCAGTATCTCTAATATATGAGAGCCTAATTCTGCAGCTCAAACAATATGTTGTAGAGCTAACCATGCCCATTCCTTTCATCACAAAAAGTCATCTCCCTAATACATGTGAGAAGTTCTGTAGTCCTGCTACCAAGCTGAAAACTGAGGTGCTGGTTCAGTGTGCCATTTCTTCATTTATACTCTCATTTTGATGAACTTTAAGATCAGCTTTTTTAAGTACATCAACATATACAGCCTGACATTTAAGTTCCATTTAAGTGACAGTTCTCCTGACCCTAACTCCTGTTGCTATCATCATCCTTTTTTATACGTACAACTGCAGAACAAAACTTTGCCTTTGTACATCTTGAAAAAGCTGATTAAAAACAGCCTGAAATATTTTTTTTTGATTTATTGTTCCACAAGCAGCTCCAAGGCAGGCTTGTTTTCTTCAGCCACAATTTTTGTTTCATTTTACTTGTACATCTACTTGAGCTTGCAAAGCTATTCCAAAAGGATTTCAAACTGCATCTTTTTTTTTTTTTTTTTAAACGAGGAACGAAATAAGAGTTCTGTCTTCATTGTTATCCCTTCCTTTTGGTTGGCACTAGGAATGTTACAAAATACTCTTGACTACAAACTACTTGAACCTTTAAAACATTAACTTAAAAGGAAAATAAGAGCTGACAGATGTCTTATACTTTTCATCTTCAAAATAAGACCAGAGAAGCAGCAGACCCCTGTACCTCATATCTCCAAATTTCTTGCTGATAGCAGTTCCTACATTGCTGATAGCTGCTGTTGCTTTTTGTCCTGCATGGCTCAGGGTCTCATGTGTTTTCTTGTAACTGGAAAAAAAAAAAAAGAACAGAAATAATGATAAATATTTAAAGAGAGAGGCTAGAATCCCACACAATTAATTCACTTTGCCTTTATTCCCAGCCACTGAAAGGTTAAGAAACAAAATAACTGCAGCACAGACCAAATTACAAAGATGCCTGCTTCTTCACAGCTTTCTAAATGCAGTTTAATCCTACAAGCAACACTTCACTGTGACTCTCCACTTTGCAGATAACATCCCCTGAGTGGATCAGTGCAAGTTATTTAAAAGTAGGATACAGTGATTTGTTTAACAACTATTTGATATAGTTTCTGTAAATTTATATCAGGTAAGCATTCTTGCAGTGGACACTGACTTGGTAGCAAAATCTGCTGCCTAGAGCACAGAAAAGAATCAGGACATAAAGAAGTCTGCTCTTCTGTGCATATGCATATTAGGTACATTTAACAGATACACTTCAAAATGATTTGTTGATATTTAAAATTAGACAAAATTGATCAAATCTCTTTCATATGCTATAACTGTACTTTTTAAAAATTTCCTTAAAAGAAGGTGGTTTTGGGAGACACAGAGAAAGAAAGATAAAAAAATCTAGACAGTGAATGCATATTCTTAACAGCACTGAATCCCTTTAAAGTCATTAATTTCAATTTAGCATGCACATTCAAGCACAAAATCATCTTAACTTCCTGATCCAGAATATATGCTCTGACCCACATAGACTCTTCCGTACAGTTAAGCTGAACGCTCAGAGGAATCAATAAGCTTTTCTGCACAGATGCTTTTTTTGCTGAGTAAACTAACCCTGAGCACGTCAGAGGCTTCCTCCTGAGTAAATTGTCTGACACTCCCAGTGACGCAGACAAGCTCAGAATTAGAAGTACTGACTAGTAACAAAAGGAGAGCGCATTAAAATCAGTCTTGTACCCTGTGGTGTGCGTTGGCAGACAAGAACTGAAGAAATGATCATGAAAAATTCAGAAATGCAATTCCACTGGTTCTCCTTCAAACAAGTTCTGTAAGTTTGTAAATGTGTACCAAAATATACTGGATATTAATACAAAAAATAAATCTCTGTGCTTAACTCCTTACACACAGTATTTTCTTCTTATTTGTGAAAGCAATATAGTTTTGTGGAGGCAGGTGAGGAAATAAGGGAAGATCAGCACTTGCAACACAGCCCATCGCATTTTATGTCAGGTCCTTTTACCCTCAGCAGCACCTATTGCTGAAAGTCCCCCATTGAGGACAGTGTTTTACAACCCACAGGTTAGAAGGCAGATGCCAAGCAATGCTCTATTCTTCCCGACAACAGTCTATCAACAATTAATTATTCTGAACACAAACACTTCAGGTTTATGTTCCTAAGCCACAAAATATCTTACAGACTACTAACCTAACACGTGAACTGCCACGTGAAATGGCTCCTTCTTTGAAGGTTCTCATCTCTGTTCTCACTGCCTAGAAAGGCGGTCTACAGGGAGCAACTTAGACCGGGGTACCAGATCTCTAGAAACCTGAGGTTAAATAAGCTCAGTCAATCACACGCACAATATTGAGTGACAACAAGGGCTAAAACATTGCAACAGTGCAGAAGGAGCACAAATTATAATTAGAAAGACAGGAGGACTGGTTATGCCTGGTTTATTTCTTCTGAAGGTATATAAAGAAGACCAAAACATTTGTTTTTACTGGGTCTCTTTTCTCTTCAGCCCTGTTGTCTGTTCCTGGACACAGCAAGATTGCAATGCTCTTATTTCACCGAGGCCTCATTCTCTAGCTTAACTAGTTTAGTAACTCTGTCATTCTCGTGCTGTCAAAGGACATTCTCTCATATAAACTAGAGTGAGACGAGACCCTAAATCAGACATTAATGGTACTTCAGTCAAACGATGAGCATGTAGCTTTTGTTAAGTGTCACCTATGAAAAAAAAAAATTAACCGAATACTCTAATGCCTGTGGGTTTAAATACATACATATATAAGAGCATTTCTTAAAATACCTAAGTTATTGCATACAAGTCTTCAGTCATTTTCCTAACAGACAAGTTTCCTAAACCATTCAGCACAAGTGGAATTTTGCTGATTATAAAATTAAGTCCACGAAGGTCTAGAGGGTCCTTGGTAGCAGAACCTACCTGTGTACAGGTTGACTGTACATAGTAAAATACTTTGCAAATATCCTTCTGAACTAACTTTTTGAAGATGACACCTTGGATTTCATCCCATTCATGGGCATATTCAGCTTTATGAAAAAAATACCTCCGTATCTTAACTTTCAGCTGCAGGTTCCTCACAATGTGTAAAATTGTTAAGACAATAGTCTCAAACACTCCATACAGCAGACTCAGTTTTAACTGAGAAACACTGGGGTCCCCTATGTATTTCTGAACATTACATTGATCAGAACACACCTTCTGGGGATTGGCTGAAACAGCACTGAGCTTGGCATTCCAACCAATATTATGTTTTCTCTGTAAATCCCCTAAACCAAACATCCTCCTCAGTATTTCCACTAGCAAGGAAGACAAAGAGGCTGCATTTGTGTTCCTAATGCTTTTAACATTATGTAACAGCATAAATCCAGCTAAGACTGTTACACAACTAGTCTTTTTTCAGCACCAACCTCAGCAAAAATGACCTTTGACATGAACCCCTCTTCCCTTTGGCAACACTGAAGAAGAGCTTTAAGGAAGAACAAAATAATAAAGGTAAAAACGTCATGCAACGTGCAATACCTGTCAGCAGAGACAAAGAAACAGCAATTTGCATCTCAGTAGAGCTCACTGACAGTTTGCTTAAAAATCAAGCCCCCCCTCATCCCTCCTTCTCCACCATTATGCATATCACTATGCCTTCCTCATAAATAATTTATCTTCCCGCAGAGCACGTTGCCTTCCTGTAGTTAGCTATGCTCCCTACTGATATACAGCACAGTATTTTAGTTCAGGTATTCTCATTGTCATAGCTACATTATACTCACAGCATTCATTTGCTACCTTGCCAAACACTCTGGTAACAATGATCTCTTCAACGTACTCTCTCTGACCTCCGGGAATCTTCTCAGTTGAATTAACAATCCCAGCCAGCAGTTTTGAGAGCCTCATGTAACACACACCAGTTGGCAGTTTTGATTTAATGCACTGAACACCTTACTTAACTTTCAGAAATTAAGATTAGAAATAAAGTTGCATATTCCACTTAAGATGTACTGACATTTATTCCCTGGAGAAAGCACTGTACGCACAGCTTAAGCCCCTGACAGCACCCACTGCTCCAACATGCTCAGTCTTCTACAAGATCTGCACACCCTCATCCTTTGAGCCGCCCTTGCTGGCCATCGGTGGGCAAGCACTGGCCACCCAGCTCATCAGGATGGGTGACAGCATCTCAACAGGCAGTCAGCCATCGGCTGCAATAAGGTCAGTGACCCTGAACCTGAAGGCAAGAAATGATCCAGCAGAAAACGAAACAAAAAAACAGAAAACCCAAACAAAAACCTTAAAGAGAATTTAGGACATGGAGATTCAAGAAACACCTTCCATCCAACCCACAGAGTCCATTTTTATACAAATACATCATTAGGCTCCATGCCTTTCTTACATTCCTACAAAGTCACTGTAACCTCCCCAAGTTTAACAGCATTGTGCCAGATGCCCAGTAGCACTAGTAAAAGTAGAAGAAAGCTGCTTGATTTATACAGTTAGAGTAGGAATGCCTTCTCTGGTTTTGTGGCTACTAGATGTACTCCACTGCACAGACGACCTGCTGGTAGTGGCTAACGAGGATCACACTTCATGCTTTTCATATAGCAGTAAATATTTATAGTGTATTTCATAGACATGAAGGATGAAACAAACATGGCATGCGAATTGCTGTCACAACTGTAAACCTGTAAAAAAAACGCACTTGTGTAATCTTGAACATTACCTTTCCATGTGATATCAACCTAAGAATTTTGTTCATCAGCTTCCAATTAGAATTTGTTAAAATAGGGTATTTCTTTAACAAAAACAATTACTTGTAAAACTGATTATAGAGGCTATGATAAAATATGCTGATATCACAGTTATATTCTGGTAATATGCCCGACACTTGTAAAACAAGCTTTAAAGATAACTCACATCTCCAGTACTGTAACATACTAATTAGGCAAAGCAGATTTGCAGCATATTTTGACTGCATTTTCACCTAACAGTTTCATATACTGCATTTAGGTTGTACTAGTTATATGACAACCACGTCTCACAGGCTGATTTTTACAGCCAGTGCAAGCAAATGAAAGAATATATCATTTCATAAAACACAACGTGTGATTCTATGAAAATAGTGCTTCATATAGAATATAGCCAGGCAGCGGACGTACAGAGAGGTCAGAGAACTAGATGTTTAAATGACCGACATCATCTGCAGGGTAAGACAAGATACCAATACTGTATGCTATCTGATCTCAGCTCAGTCGAATGCAGAATTGCCCTTCACATGGCAGAGTTAAATCTAACCCTCCTTTACAGGTGCACTACATAGACTGCTGACAGAGGTCTGCCTCAAATGTAATATTCATATTTTCCATGGCAAGCAGCACATTTCACAGAATCACAGAATGTTTGGGGTTGGAAGGGACCTCAAAAACTCATCTAGTCCAGCCCCCCTGCCAGAGCAGGATCACCTCCAGTAGGTCACACAGGAACGCGTCCAGACGGGTTTTGAAAGTCTCCAGAGAAGGAGACTCCACAACCTCCCTGGGCAGCCTGTGCCAGTGCTCTGCCACCCTCACAGGGAAAAAATTTTTCCTAATGTTTTTGTGGAATCTCCTATGTTCCAGCTTGTACCCGTTGCCCCTTGTCTTGTCATTGGACATCACTGAAAAGAGCCTGGCTCCGTCCTCCTGACACTCACTCTTTATATATTTATAAGCATTAATGAGGTCACCCCTCAGCCTCCTCTTCTCCAAGCTAAAGAGATCCAGCTCCTTCAGTCTTTCCTCATAAGGAAGATGTTCCATTC